CTATTATAAAATAAATATGATCTTGTTGGTTAGTAAATCTTTCACTTAACTTTTTTTTTAATACCTCATTTTCACTTAATAATTGCTTATTATTTTTTTCTAACTCATCAATTCTTCTTTGAAGAATTTCACATATTGGATGTAAAAAGGATACTTGAGACCCAAAATCGGCATAAGTTTTTTTTTTAAGTAAATCAACCTGAGTGCTAAAATCAATGAAAGTTTTTTCAACTTGAGTGCCAAAATCGATGAAAACTTTTTCAACTTGAGTGCCAAAATCAACGAAAGTTCTTTCAACTTGAGTGCTGAAATCGACGAAAGTTTTTTCAGAAACTTGCGGCTCATTATCATTAGAAAACTTCAATCTTTTTTTCTCAGGTTTACCTGAAGATAGAAGAGTTGGATCAGTTTCTTTCTTTAACTTATTAATAAAAAGATTTTTAGCGACCAGCTGGTTATAGTGCCCTTCACATAAAGAATAACTGTCCATAGAATCAAGAAATGGAGCTAATTCGGGAAAATACTTAGCCAGTTCTGTTAATTTTTTGGTTGCTGCAGGAGCAGACGCATTTCGCCACTTTCCTTCTTTACATTTCTCTATACGTTTTAGCAAGTCACTGTCCGGGTGTTTTGTAGCAAAAAAAGTGAAAATACACGGCAGATCTTTGGCTTCAGATTTTGAACTCATGGTTAATTTATATACGAATATATGTAATTTAAACTTTGATTTGTAAAAAAACTAGTTGGTAAAGTCTCAGGGATCCCCGGGGATTCTAAAAATACGAGCTTGAAAATATATATTACGAAAGCTAGTTTCGACTTTTGTTACGTATTAGTTACGTATAAGATCGACGAAATACTCCGGATTTTTTCTATAAAAGATTATCGCATTTCGAAACGTGATCTGTAGACTATTCTAGAAATGATCTACGAATTTTGAAAAATCCCTGACTGTACTATATAACTAATTCAAGTAATAATTTTACTAATTTTTCTTTTATGAAAAATGATTATAATCAAGAAACGTTTTTTGGGTTGTTTTTTTCTACTTAATTCTTATTTACAATACGTGTACGTACTAGTTTTTTGATTTGTTATGTTGATTATTACTGTTTGGCTAATAAGCCTCATGTTATAACCAAACTTGTTTGGTGGCGGTGTCAATTTTCCAATTTCGAAATTTATCGTTATACCGTAATTACCCTTAATTTCGGAAAAATTTTCGGAAATGGTACTTTTTAACCCGTGATATTACCAAAAAATCTGCCTATGATGTTATTATATCTGCTGGCTTAGCCGGCTAAGCCAATTTAACCACGACTTCCTTTAGCCGAATTAAAACGCTAACCTGGATGGTTTATATTGAGACTTACAGTATTCTAAAATTTACGCGTGACAAATTGTTAGTAAAATACCAATACTATTAGCGTTAGCTAGACCTAACACTCAATACGGTTGAAAACGTCAGAATGTACTACAAATCTCGTGTTACCTAAAATTTTTGGTATAAGCGCATGAATGTTCATTTAACTTCATAATGTTCATGCATCAAATTTATAAACATCTACGTGCACAAATAAAAGATATATTACGTATAAACTACTATCGGTCAAGTGTAATGTCTGAAAATTTTCAGGGTAATGATTTAATTAATGGATCTGCAAGTTGCAGCACATATGAAAT